CTAATTAACCCAATTAAAAAATGGGGCACTGAAATGAACAGAGAATTCTCAACAGAAGAACTTCAAATGGCCAAAAGACACTTAATGTCATGCTCAACTTCCTTAGCAATCAGGGAAATGCAAATCAAAACAACTTTGAGATATCATCTCACACCTGTCACAATGGCTAAAGTCAAAAACACCAAGGATAACCTCTGCTGGAGAGGCTGTGGAGGAACGGGCACCCTCATCCATTGCTGGTGGGAATGCAATCTTGTGCAACCACTGTGGAAGTCAGTGTTTCGGTTTCTCAGGAAATTCGGGATCAACTTACCCATGGACCCAGCAATACCACTCCTGGGAATATACCCAAGAGATGCTCTATCAAATGACAAAAGCATTTGTTCAACTATGTTCATAGCAGTATTATTTGTAATAGCCAGAACCTGGAAACAACCTAGATGCCCTTCAATGGAAGAATGGATGAAGAAAGTATGGAATATATACACGCTAGAGTACTACGCTGCGGTAAAAAACAATGACTTCTCGAATTTTGCATGCAAATGGATGGAAATAGAAAACACTATCCTGAGTGAGGTGTCCCAGACCCAAAAAGATGAATATGGGATGTACTCACTCATAATTGGTTTCTAGCCATAAATAAGGACCACGGAGTCTACAATAGGTGAACCTAAAGAAGCTAAGTAAGAAGGTGAACCCAAGGAAAAACATATAGTTGTCCTCTTGGCTAAGGGAAGTAGACCAAATTTCCGAGGAGAAAATGGGATCTTGGGGGTGGGGTGGGATGGGGGTAAGGGGAGATAGGGTGAGAAAAGGTAGAAGGGAAGGAGGGGGGACCTGGGGAAACAGGAGAATTGGGATAAAGGAAAGGTGGATAGGGGAGCACGGAACCACAATTCTTAGTTAAGGGAGCCACTTTAGGGTAGGCAAGAGACTTGACCCTAGAGGGGCTCCCTAGTGCCCAAGATGAGGTTCCCAGTTACTTCCTTGGGCAGCTGAGGATTGGGAACCTGAAATGACCCTATCCTAGAGCAATACTGACGAATATCTTGCATATCATCATAGAATCTTCATCTGGTGATGGATAGAGATAGAGACAGAGACCCACACAGGAGCACTGGACTGAGCTCCCAAGGTCCCAAGGAGGAGCAGAAGGAGGGAGAACATGCGCAAAAAATTCGGGACCACGAGGCGTGCATCCACCCACTGAGACAGTGGAGCTGATCTACGGGGAGGTCACCAAGGCCAGCTGGACTGTGACCGAAAAAGCATGGGATAAAACCGGACTCTCTGAACATGGCGAACAATGAGGGCTGATGAGACACCAAGGACAATGGCAGGGGGTTTTGATCCTACTTAATGTGCTGGCTTTGTGGGAGCTTAGCCAGTTTGGATGTTCACCTTCCTAGATATGGACGGAGGGGGGAGGACCTAGGACTTAACACAGGGCAGGGAACCGGGACTGCTCTGTGGACTGGAGAAGGAGGGGGAGAGGAGTGGGAGGAGGGGGAGAAGGGTGGAAGGAGGGGAAGGGAAATGGGAGGGTGGGAGGAGGTGGAAACTTGTTTTTTGTTTATTTTTTTTCTCTTTTCGCAATAAAAAAAAAGAGAAAAAAAATAAATAAAAAATAAAAAAATCATAGAGTAAGGTAACCCAAACCCAAAACGACAAATATAATATGTACTCACTCATAAATGGCTTTTAGACATAAAATAAATAACATGGGAAATAGAAAAAGACAAGATCTCTTGAGTAAATTGGGAGCATGAGGGATCATGGGAAAGGGGAAAAGGTGAGGGAAAAAGGGAGCAGATCAGAGAAAAAGATATAGCTCAAAAAATAAAAAGAATTAAAATAAAACAAGATTGTTACTAAAGAAAACATTAAAAAGGAATATAAGAGAGATGAAATTTTAGGCATTAAAGATACAATAAAAGAAATGGATATAAAATTAAAAATAAATAAATCTTAAAAACTCCAGAAACAAAACATCTAGGAATCCTGGAACAATATAAAAAAAGCCAAACCTAAGAACAGATATAAAGGAAGAGAAAAGATACAAGTCAAAGGCATAGGAAATATTTTCAATAAATTCATAGAAAAAAATTACCTAACCTAAAGAAAAAGATTACTACACAAGAAATGCAAAAAGAAAAGTCCCTTCAACATAGGAGAATAAAAACAGCAAATGTATAGAACAAAGAAAGTCTATTAAAAGCTGCAAGAGAAAAATCAAGTAGCATGTAACGGCAGACCAATCAGAATTATAGCTGACTTCTCAAAGGAGACTCTGAAACGGCTCGTACATTCCAAGAGTCCACAGATTACTACTCCCAGCATATGATCACTATAAAGAGAGAAAATAAGATGTTTCATCATAGAACAAATTTAATAAATGTTCATCTACATATACATTCCTCCAGAAGGTGCAAGAAGAAAAATTCAAACCTAAAGAGGTTAACTACCAACTATGAAAGCATGAAAAATAATCTCAAACCTACAAAATCAAAACGAATATAAGTGCACACACACACCATCATCAACAATAACATAACAGGAATCAATAATCACAAGTCTTAAATATCACTAAACATCAAAAGTCCCTGTGGTAGTTTAAATGCAATTTGCCCCAATAATCTGGTTCCTCAAGAAGATGAAAACTGATCTACCTCAAGAACCAGCTATACCACTCTTGGGTATATACCCAAAGGACACTTGCTCGACTATATTCATTACTACCACACTCATAATATCCAAAATCTAGGAAAAACCTACATGTCCCTCAACAGAATAATGTATAAAGGTGATAATTTTACACAATAGGGTATTAACTCAATTTTTGAAAAAAAATCCATCATAAAATGTGCAGATAAATAGATGGAACTAGAATAAATCATCCTGAGTGAGAAACCCAACCCCCAAAAATATAGTATAAACTCATTTATATTTGGCTATTAGCAATTAAATAATTGATAGCCAAGTTACAATCTGTAGACCCAGAGAGTTTAGGCATTGAGGAACAAATAGGGGGTAGATATGGATGTCCCTAGGAAGGAGAAATGGAATATATTTTATAGGTGGACTGGAATGGGGGAGAAAGAACAGGAAGATCAGGTAGGAAGCAGAAGGTGAGATTGATGGGGGAGTGTCATATATCAATCTGTTGATTTCATTGGTTAAGCAATAAAGAAACTGCTAGACGGGCTGGAGAGATGGCTCAGAGGTTAAGAGCATTGCCTGCTCTTCCCAAGGTCCTGAGTTCAATTCCCAGTAACCACATGGTGGCTCACAACCATCTGTAATGGGGTCTGGTGCCCTCTTCTGGCCTGCAGGCATACACACAGACAGAATATTGTATACATAATAAATAAATAAATATTTAAAAAAAAAAGAAACTGCTAGGCCCATTTGATAGGCCCACCCTTAGGTGGGTGGAGTAAACAGAACAGAAGGCTGGGAAAAAAAAGCTGAGTCAGAGAGTCGCCATGATTCTCCCACTCCTGGGAGATGCAGATTAAGATCATTCCTGGTAAGCCAGCTCATGGGCTAAACAGATTATTAGAAATGGGCTAGTCCAGGTGCAAGAGTTAGCCGAGAAAAGGCTAGATATAATAGGCCAAGCGGTGTTTAAAAGAATACACTTTCCGTGTAATTATTTCAGGTAAAGCTAGCTGTGCGGAGCTGGGTGGGAACGCAGCCCACCGCAGCTCCTTCAACATGAGATGGGACTGAAGGAGGGAATAAAAGGAGGGACAGTAAAAACTGAAGTGTTTGAAAGTAAGTCTCCAAATATTTTAAGAGATCAAACTGCCCATCTCTTTTCATCATGAAGCTTCCCATATTGTGCCTGGGTTACATCTAGTTGAGTTGTTAGCTAAAAGGATTCCATAGAAATTCCCAAACCATGCTGTTGGCAAGTCAGCAGGTTGCTCTCCACAAACTGATAGCAAGGTGCCATGGCTGAAGACAACACCTATACGATTCTCTGAACATGGAAGTTGGATCTAGTGACTATGTAGAACCTTCACCCCAATTGTCTACATAGGTACTCCAGACTAACAACCCAACCACATTGCCCTGCCTGCAAAATATACTAGTATTTGAACCAGCTATGGAAACTACTAGACAGCTATCCTGAATAATTTTGTCATTAAAATAATTTCAGAACTATTTAATAAAATGAATACATTAAAAGATAAATGAAACTACAAAACCTAAAACAATAAAAATCATACAGGATGCATTTTGCATTTAAAAGATGAAAATGGGGGGCTGGAGAGATGGCTCAGAGGTTAAGAGCATTGCCTGCTCTTCCAAAGGTCCTGAGTTCAATTCCCAGCAACCACATGGTGGCTCACAGCCATCTAGAATGAGATCTGGTGCCCTCTTCTGGCATGCAAGCATACATGGAAGGAATGTTGTATACATAATAAATATTAAAAAAAAAAGATGAAAATGGAGCTGGGTGCGGTGATGCACACCTTTAATCCCAGCACTTGGAAGGCAAAAGATAGGGGGATCTCTGTGAGTTTGAAGCCACCTGGTGTAGAAGAGTTAGTTCCAGGACAGGCTCCAAAGCTACAGAGAAACCCAGTCTGAGGGGTAAGGGGGAACAGACATTAAGTGTTCTGTCAAAATGCTGTATTAAATATTGGTTGGTACACAGCTAGTAGTGATATTGAGGAATGATTAGATTATGAGAATGCTGATGACTTTCTTGCTGTGTGAGTTTTTAAAAGGTGTGCATAATTGGAGAAAGAATGTGATAAGCTTGTGAAAGATAAATATTTCAATACATGATTCTTTCCTATCAATCTCTATACTGCCTGATTACCATGAAACAAATATCTTTGCTCTACCATAAATTTTTTGCCATGATATTCTGCATTGGTACAAACACAGAAAGAATTCTAGACTCTGAAATTATGGGTTTTTCTCACATATTTTGTCACATTGACAAAACTTAAAACCTATTTAAAAAGATAAATTTAAACACTTACCTGGGTTTCATATAACTGAGCAATGTGAAACTGAACTGTAACGGATCAGGGAAAAAAGCAAATTTCAATTCATCCAAGTTTAAAATAAAGGTAAGAATACAATAATCCATAATAGATATTGATAATGCCAGAACATTTGAGCAAATTTTTAATAAATTATATTAAACAGTAAAACATTATAAGCCAAATAAGAAAAATATTGATTAGAAATCATTACATTAAAATTTTAATTTATTTATTCATGGTATATGAATGAAAAATCTATAGAAAAGTATTCATACAAAAGGCTGAAAAACCATCCAGTGGAAAAGAGTGTTTAGTCTACAAACACGACCTGAGTTCAAACCCCCAACATTGAAGGACAAAATCATATGGAACCCTATACCTCAGTCAGCCTAGCTGATAAGATTCTAGATTAGTAAGAAACTGCTTCGAAAGAAGACAATCACATACTCAAAGTGCATGAATCACAGAGACCACCCACCCACCCAGAATACTAGAAAACAGAAGGCATGGAAACAAGCAAACAAAAAACTTATTGAGGAAATTTCAGATCAAAGAATTAAAATAATTCTTTGTTAAAAAATTCTTATTTACTTATATTTTATGTATGAGTGCTCTGCAAGTTAACCTTCATGAATGAAGAGGGCACCAGATCTCACTATAGATGGTTGTGAGCCACCATGTGGTTGCTGGGAATTGAACGCAGGACCTCTGGAAAAGCAGCCAGTAAGTACTCTTAACCACCAAGCCAACTCTCCAGCCCCAAATTTTTAAATTCTTATAACTTGCTGTCTGACATCAAAAAAATTTTCTTATGTTCACAAAAGAGAACAATTTTTTCATGTCCTTCTATTCATATTCAATTCAATATAAAGAATATTTCCTTAAGAAAAAGCAAAGGTTGTTCCTGAGGATATGATTCAGCTAGTTAAACATTCACCCCACATGGGGGAGTACTAGAATTCCAAAATAAAAGGTGTATGTGGCAGTGTTAAACCCAGCAGACACAAGCTGGCTACAACCTTAATGAAAAACCTTTCCTCAATATATTAGAGAACAAGAGAGACACAACATCAAACTATGACATATACCCACACACAGACACAGATATACAAAGAAATATGTAAACATTCATAGCACTACACACATACATACAAAGAAAAACACAGTTCAGAAAATTAGTAATAATCGGAATTTAAAAATAAAAACAAAATACAGATTAACTAACTAAAACCATACAATTATAAAATAAGGATACTTCCAAAGTAAAAGACAGATTATTTGGCAGGTATTCCCCATTTCAATGGCTTAAATTATTCAACACTAATGATCACTAGGCAAACAAACAAAATACAAACATCTGAAATTAAATATGATATATTTTTTAATTTGTTTATTTATGAGAACTTTTCTACTAAAGAACTTTTCAAATTACATAAAGTATATTTCTATCCATTTTCTTTTGGAAGAAAAGTCTTTTTTTTAAAAAAAAAATTTTTTTAAAGATTTATTTATTTATTTATTATGTATACAACATTCTGCCTCTGCCTGCATGCCAGAGGAGGGCATCAGATGTCAGTACAGATGGTTGTGAGTCACCATGTGGTTGCTGGGAATTGAACTCAGGACCTCTGGAAGAGCAGCCAGTGCTCTTAACCTCTGAGCCATCTCTCCAGCCCAGGAAGAAAAATCTTAAATGCAAACCCAAAACTCTTGTTGCATCCTTTACACCTCCAACCTTTCTCTTCCATTTTACCCCTCTTGATGTCTTTACACTGACATTCTTCCCCACCCCCAAGACAGGGTTTCTCTATTGCATTGAAGCCTGTCCTGAAACTAACTCTGTAGACCATATTGGCTTGTATGTAGCTCAAAAAGGCCCCGCCTGTCTTTGCCTCTTGAGTGCTGGAATTAAAAGTGTGCACCACTGCTGCCACCACCTGGCAACACTAAAAATAATATAACAAAGATTCTACTAAAGAGTTGGAGATATGACTCAGAGATTAAGAGGACTGATCTTCCACTCCCAAAAAGACCCTCATGGCAGCTCATAATTATCTCAAACTCAGTTCGAGGAAATTGGATGCCCTCTTCTAACCTCCATTAATGTCAGGCATATGTGGTGTACATACATGCAGGTAAGACATGCAAATGAAAAAAAGTGCTTTAAAAAATCTGCTTAAAAAGCCTGACAGAAATAACAATCATAAAATCAAAGCTTAAGAGATTATGATCCAGTTACTACGAACTGGAAAAGCTTCATTTAATATATAATCTCCAGGATTGTTAAATTCTCAATAAATACATCTGCGAACACTTCATTAGAAAACTGTTAAATTGCTTTATAAACATATTTGGAACTACACATGTTAGTGCATACTTAGGAAACAGAGGTAGGAAGATCTTGAGAGTTTGTGGCCACCCTAGACTACACAGTGAGTTCTAGGAGAGCCAGGTTATGTACTGAGACTATGTTTAAAAAATAAATAAATAAATAAATAAATAAACAAATAGAAAAAAAATATTTATTAACTAAAATCAATCTGTAAAAGTCAAACAAGTTGTCAATTTTGAGACTTTATGTGGTAAAAATAAAAAACTAAACCAGGCAGCAGCATTAAGATTAAATAAAAAAATTTCCTATACATCAAAAGAAATAGTAATATAAACACACATATACACAATCAAAAATTTCATTTGCAATATAAATAAGGTTGAGAATTTTCTCTACTTCACTTCATTTTTAATATGTTTCTTTGACTTCTACAGTAAGTAAATAAAAATCTCATGTCATTTCATTACTGTAGGAAAGGATTAAAAGAGGATTAAAAGCAAAGAAAAGGAAAAAAAATTAAAACTCTACTTCTTTATGTGTGTACACATCTGGTGAATGTAATAAGAAAATAACTACCAGAGGTAACTCTGTCATATTCTTACAATCTGACTTTACACCAGATTAGTCTCAGGTTCCATACTGACTCACTATCATAGCAGAAGTATTATACTTCAGAAGGTAAAGACATTATTAATATTTTATTCTTCACATATTTAAAGCAATATAACTGTCCAAATAGAAAATGTTCAAATAAGCCAATTTCAATTACAGACTAAAAACTGACAAATATGGACACCAAAACAAACTTTATTCCATAATATGTTTCAAATTATATATAAATGTTATGCCCAACACAAATCATATAATTTTAAAGATGTTAGTCATTTCTTAGGCCTGAAAGCAGTATATTACTACAACTTACACTTACTGCTCATTCATTTAAATTTTTTTAAAAAAAGAAAGCGTGTTTACACTTAGTATTCTTTATGAAGCAAATTTTTAAAATATTCTTTGAAAGAAAATTTCAAAGACAGTCATAGTTTGCTGCCATCCATAGGATGATGTAGTGAGAATTCAGCTGATAAATCACCAAGTTTGCCCACTGGGATCCAAAATTCCAATGAAGGAGGCCCGCATGCAGGGTGATTGAAGTTTATGTATTATGAACAGTCACTGTCCTTACTATAAATTCCCTGTGAAGTCACAGTACCCCCCGTCTATGGGGGGATTCTTCGCAAAAACCTTAGCAGTACATTAACTGATTACTGAGCACAACTCCCCCTATGCACTGGTATATTGGATGACTCCTCCCAACAATGCATGATTCTGGCAAGAAGGTAATCAGTCTCTCAACCAGATCAGTGTATGAACTTAGAATATATGGATGGAATTCTTAGAGCCAAAAAACTCCTTTCAGCCAGTTAACATGTGGTGTAAGTGCCAACAGGAACCAAACACCAAAGGCTTCCCTGTTTCTTACATATGTTGCCTAGTTACCAAATACTCCTTCTGTCCTCTGAGAAGAGCAGCATCCTGAAAAGATGGTTCTTGCTTTGCTCCTGATTTTCACTGTTTATAACTTTCAGCTTATTTACCTAATCCCATTTAAGAAAACAACAAAAGTTCACATCTTCTCCTCTTAGATCTCTTTAATGACTTAGTCTCTCTCTTAATTAACCCCCTTTCCCTTTAAGAAGTTATCAGAGGCTTAACCATTCCCACTTTGAGCTATAAAGAAAGGCTGAGCAAGCCTTTGTATAAAACTTTTACCTGTTTCTGGGACACTGAAAAACTCTGGCCTTGTACATGATTAGGGTTGGAGAATTGGTGATTGTACATGTTTATAAGCTAGAAACTTTTGCAGCACTACAGATCAATAAAGAGCACATGAAATAAAGATCATGACCCTCAGATTGTGGGTAAAGTCATTATAGAGATCTCTGACCCTTCACTCCTAAGAAGCATTTCGCCTTTGGAACCCTGGATAGGGGCTGGAGCAGGTCTCACAGCCCCTAAATAGTCCCTATAATATGCTAATCCTAAGACATTACAACAGAAGAGGATTTTTTCCCATTAAAGACAACAGAAGGGGGGTATGGATCTTATACTAATATTTGATACAAAGAAGTAAATCATTTCTCTAGTGTTCTTTATTATTAAAAATGCACCCAAAGAAATTAAATCACAGAAACAAAAACAATACATATAATTTGAAACTCACATTCATAAGACAAAAATACTTTCCACACTGGACAAAGTACAGGCATTACTGTCGATCAAAGCTAGCTGAAAATGCTGCCAAAAGAAAGTGAAAATACAATGTGTTAGAATTCCATAAAATAGCTTTTTATTTCTTTTTAAAAGTCTATAAAATGAAACTACTATAGTATAAAACTGAAATATTTAACTCAAAATAGGTATTAAAAGGTAGTGATTAATGTTGAAATGTTATCAAGAAATCCTCAAAATTACATTTGTGCAAAAATTTTTGCATATTAAATCCTGAGTCAATATTTTAAGCATAAAATGAATAAAATACTAAATGACAAAAATTATTAAATGGTGATTACCTGGAAACCTGGAAAGCCAATACATTTCTGCATCAAATCAAATCTTAAGAAATTTAATATGAACTTCATAGGCCAAATTATACAACAGTGTGTAAAACTTAATAAAAATATATCTATTTTTTCTAATTTTCAAAATGACTACATTTCAAATATGTAACACATTTATCTAGTGTCACCTGTGGTAAGAAACATACAACAGGTATAATAGCTATTCACATACATACATGCTTTTTCAAATTGGCAAACATATCTCTATGTATAAATTACCTGGGTACAAACTGATTTAAGACGCAATATTTAAGCTTTCTACTCCTACTTTTTTATGTTCAGTTACCAACAAGAGTGGCTTGTTGGGGGCTGGAGAGATGGCTCAGTGGTTAAGAGCATTGCCTGCTCTTCCAAAGGTTCTGAGTTCAACTCCCAGCAACCACATGGTGGCTCACAACCATCTGTAATGAGGTCTGGTGCTTTCTTCTGGCCTGCAGACATACACACAGACAGAATAATGTATACATAATAAATAAATATTTAGAAAAAAAAAGAGTGGCTTGTTATTCTAAGTTTCTTGCTTTTTGTTTTTTAATTTTTTTTGAACATATTTATGTTCATGGGTATGTTTCCTATATGTACATATGTACATATCATTTGTTGTGGATAGCAGCAAATGCCAGAATAGAACATCAGATCATCTACGAATAGAGTTACAGACAGTTGTGAGATAACCAACCTGTGGGTGTTGGGAATCAAATACAGGTCCTCAGAAGAACAGCCAAGTGTTCTTATCACTGTGCTATCTATCCAGCCATGGAAAAGTCATTTGTAATGCCATAGTATTAGCTTCTTTGCTTAGCTTAGCAGTATCTTTTTCAGGGTACAGTCCTGGTTAGTTTTTTGCCAACTGGACACAAGTCATCTAAGAACTTCAACTGAGAAAATTGTTGCCACCACAATGTCAATAAGCAGTATGAGACACATTTTCTTGAAAAGTGACTGATCTGAGAAAAACTAACCTACCATGGGCAGTGACATCACCAAGCTCAAGGACCTATACTGCTTTACCATAGTCACACTACTGTCAATTGTTGAGATGCCTATCTCAGACTAATATTGTCTGATTTTGCCTTTGAGGTCTCTTTGTGTTTCAATTCTTTTCAATTTCCTATAAATAATGAAATTGTAACAAAATCAAAAATAAAAATTTAAAAGTGGGCAGAAGCTGGCAGTGGTGGTGCATGTGTTTGATCCCATCACTGGGGAAAAGGAGGCAGGAGAATATCTCTGAGTTTGAGGCCAGCCTGACCTAAAGAGCGAGTTCCAGGACAGCCAATGCCACACATAGAAACTCCAGCTTGAAAAACACAAATAAATAAATAAACAAACAAGAAGAAAGTCTAACAAATTCAACAATCACAGACAGATGACACAATTTAAACTGAAGAAATCATTAAAATGGAGAGATTATCAAAGAAGCGTTATAAACGACAAGAAATATATGAAAACAAACAAGTGAAAGTCATGACATACATTCACTCAAGAGGCACAGGCAGGTGGCTCTCTGTGAGTTTAAGTCCAGCCTGGTCTACAGAGCAAGTTCTCAGCTAGCACAATACAGAGAAACTCTGTCTCAACAAAACAAAATTATTATTATTATTCACTGTATATAAGCATTTTAAGCCAAGACATGATACCTACCTGAATGAAAACATGAAGACCTGATTAGTACTAGATATATTTGAGGAAATGGTTTATTGTAGATAGGAGGCAGGACAAAGAGATATCTAGAAAATTCCAGCCTGAACTAGGCCAGTGGGCTGAACCAGGTCATTAGGGGATGGGAAAGAAGAGAGGAAGCAAAAAGAGCACATGGGAACCAAGAGCACTAAGGAGGCACAGAAGACCAAGTGACTGGAAAACAGAAGCTTGGAGAAGGGACACAAAGCTCAGGAGCAGGGACTGAGGGACTGAGGGACACTAGCAACCAGTATCTACATTAATATGTTAAATATATACTTCAGTCATTTGTCCTGAGTTTCTGTGATACCTAACATGGTTTGCTATTAGCTACTCTCCTTAAGAAGAGGAAAGACAGGAAAATAAATGCTGGCAAAGAAGAAGAAATAACTCAGAAGTAATGGTGCTTAGCGGTCAAAGGCAGATAGATCTGCATGAGTCTGAGGCCAGCCTGTTTTACACAGCAAGTTCCAGGACAACTAGAACTACATATAGACACTATGTCTCAAAAAAGAAAAATAAGGGGAAAAAAAGGAGGTGAAGAAATAAACCCTCAATAAAATAAAAATTAGAAGGTTCAGAGTTTCTGAAAAAAATAAAACTCTGAGGCTGGAGAGAAGACCCCAAGTTCAATAATCATCATCAGTATGGCTAAGAACTATCCCTAATTCCAAGTCCCTTTTTGGTCATCTAAAGGCACAAGTTATGCATGCAGTACACATACACTGGCAAAACTTCACGCATGTAAGTAAAACACTAACAAAAGACATAATGTTTCTATAAGAAATGTTCAATGAGTCTTCTATCAGATAACATAAAACTAGTGTTTACAATAAAAAACCCAAATCTTTTTCTTTAAAAAAAAAAAAACTCCTCTTATCCCCCAAACCATTACAAACTTTTGTTTATGGAAGGGCCACACAAATATAATGCTAGGCCCCTAATAACTCAGTTAAGAACTAGGCCTGAGTTCCTGCCTCTTGAAACTGAACAAAATAGTTTCTGAGGAAGACATGAACAAGGAGCAACCAATCACTAGTGCCCCTTGACAGTGAAGACTGCACATACTAAGCCTGGGCCAGAACCTCCATTACCTTTAAGGCAATGACCAAATAAAGACAAAGCCTGGGATTGTTCAGACATGCCCAATAATGTAGAAGCTATACCCATTGGCCCTAACTAATTAGAAATGTACTAATATAATTGCCACTTGTATAAGTCAATCCCAGATAGAATCATCACACTGCTTTTAGAATTTTAGCCATGTAGAACTGTTTTCCTCTAGTTGTATAAAAGAGACTGCAACCTTTTCTTGGGGGTCACCATTCACCATTTGCCTTTGTGTTAGATGTGCAACCCTAGCATGATGGTACTTCTATTTTTGAGATTTAAAAAAAAGAATGCTCTTGATTGCTTGAATGGGCAAAAGTCTTTTCTGGGACTTCTCCAGGACCCTAATAGTTTACATAAAGGTCCCACTTGATGCACAGATTTAAAAAGTTCACCCTTCACCTCTTCTCTTTTTATTTCCTTTGAGCTTTTAAAATAGTCTATGGAAGCTAGAAAGGTGGCTCAGAGGTTTAAAAACACTTGATGATATTAAACAGAACCTTAGCTTCACTTCCAAAACAAATGATAGCTAACAACTGTCAGGTGGAAACCAAACTCCATTGTCCCAAATTCTGGGGGTTATGGAAAAGTCAGCATTTCCCAAGAACTTGTGAAGCTGATTCCCTGCTACCAAAGGAGAAATTTCCCTTATTACTACTAGAAGAATGGACAAATGGCTATGTGTGGTGCTTATTAGCATACAAAGCTCATGTTGGTCTCCAGGCTTCCTCAGTACACCCAATACACCACCCCTACCCTAAATTTTTCCAGCTCGTAGACTCCCCTATCCCCAGCTACTCACTCTCCTTATAACCTTCCTATTCTTGCTTACTTTCTCTTGTTTCATCTCTAGCTCTTCTCCTATAGCCCTCACCATGCCCACTCTCTCTATCCCTTTGTTCTCCTTCCATTTCTCTCAGAACCAGAGCCAGGGTGCTGCCCATATTCAGTCTACTACTTTCTGTCTCTGTTCTGGATTCATTCAGATGTTTCTGCTTGGTCTCTCTCTGATACATACAATAGGCGATGCCCCCAGTTAGTTCCTTGGGCAGCTGAGGATAGGGAACCTGAAATGATCCTATCCTATAGCAATACTGACGAATATCTTGCATATCACCATAGAACCTTCATCTGGTGATGGATGGAGACAGAGACAGAGACCCACACTGGAGCACTGGACTGAGCTCCCAAGGTCCCAGTGAGGAGCAGAAGGAGGGAGAACATGAGCAAGGAGTCAGGACCACGAGGGGTGCACCCACCCACTGAGACAGTGGGGCTGATCTATTGGGAGCTCACCAAGGCCAGCTGGACTGTGACTGAAAAAGCATGGGATAAAACTGGACTCTCTGAACATGGCGAACAATGAGGGCTGATGAGAAGCCAAGGACAATGGCACTGGGTTTTGACCCTACGTAATGTGCTGGCTTTGTGGGAGCCTAGCCAGTTTGGATGTTCACCTTCCTAGACATGGACAGAGGGGGGAGGACCTTGGACTTTCCTCAGGGCAGGGAACCCTGACTGCTCCTTGGACTGGAGAGGGAGGGGGAGAGGAGTGGGGGGAGGGGGAGAAGAATGAGAGGAGGGGGAGAAGGGTGGGAGGCTGGGAGGAGGCGGAAACTTTTTTTTTTTCCTTTTCTCAATAAAAAAAAAGAGAGAAAAAAATTTTCCCCAGGAATGAACAGAGAGTAAATATACAAATACAGGAAAAGCATCCATACACATAAAATAAATTTAAAGTAAAAAAAAAATTCTTTAAAAGAATTTAAACCAACCAATGTCAAGACTGTGAGGTCGGAGTCGGATCTCAGCAAAAATAAGAACAACAGAATTTAAAATCTGAAGAGAGGGGTTAGGTAATTTATTTTCTGCCTGTTTTTCCTTAAT